GTGTGTGTGTGTGTGTGTGTGTGTGTGTGTGTGTGTGTGTGTGTGTGGATCCGCGCATGTGTGGGGTTTGGAGTGTGGTCATGTGTTGGAAGCGGGGAAGTGTGTGGACATCATTCCCCCATATATATACTACTATACGCAAAGGCCGAAAAATTCGCGTCGACGTTCCTCCATATATATACTACTGTCACTCGCTACTCGTATATAATATTGTGGCAGTAAAGGCTGTAGACAAATTTGCGCGTGGCCTAAAAACTGTATTTTAACATGAAGAAAGCACATAAACAGAACTTATTTATTTTTGTAATAGAATTGTAATTGCGGATTGGTAAAAAAACCAGGAACAATTGAGAATGAAAGATAAAATTGGATTCGGGATCTTCAATCCGTAACCAAAAATTTTGACTTGTTCTACCATGTACCCGATCATTCCACACAAAGTTTGGCCATATATTGATTTTAATACGTAATACGTGCTATGGGCTGCAAAGTGGCATCAACACTAAGCATGGGCAGTTCTTTCGCTGCACGTAAGACCTGATCAGCATATTTACTGCTACTTAATATCCTTCAGGGGAAAAAAAAATTTGTCTTTTTATGCTGAGCAATTTTTATTATCTTATTGTGTTTTAATCTGAAATTAAATTGAAATAAATAATTAAATCACAAATGACAATCAGTAGAGATAAATGCAAACTTACCATTGGAATGCAATGAATATTGCGAGGAGGATGGAAATGGCGCGCGGAGGAACTTACGACCACGTGATGTTGGTGTCTATTTTCTCTCTGAAATTTATTCCGGACAATAATGTTACCAGCACGAATCCGAGCACATTTCTCCGGTGCAGCTCACTTCTGCTGAATGATTGTATAAAAAAAGAGCATTTATCTCCCCTTGAACGTCTCCTGACTAGTTTTAGTAAATCTTTAGAGACCTGGCGTTAAATTTTCGCATATTTTTGAATATTTCCTGTTTTATATAATATATAATCTTATATATATAATTGTTTAAAAAAAGAGCATTTATCTCCCCTTGAACGTCTCCTGACTAGTTTTATTAAATTTTTAGAAACCTGGCGTACGATTTTCGCATATTTTTGAATATTTCCTGTTAATTCTTCGATATATTCGTACAAGTGGTTTTATATATATATATATTTTTATATATTTTTATTTTATTATAATAGCCATTGCGTTTTTGGAATTTGCGTTAAGAGCAGAGAACATATAATTTACTCTTATTGCATGCAGATTGTGTGCAGAAAAATGAAAGAAAACGGTTAAATGAGGAGAACTATTCTGCACATTCCTTAAAAAATAGGAATTGTTGTGTCTTACGATATTTCTGTTTTTAAATGAATTAGACACGGAAATTCTAGCTTGGCGTGAAAACGCAAATAAGAAAGCTGGAAATGTTGATGACATTGAAAAATAATGGAAACTGAAGGGTCTATACTTACGGTACAATTTACAATAAAAACACTTTAGAAAAGTTCAAGGAAACAGATAAAACTTCTCTACTCCAACAAGAAGGTTCAAAACTACTGGAGGAGTTTCGCGCTGATATATTAGGGAAAATTTCCAATAATTCCTTTGTTGCCACATGTTTACCAAAGTCTGCACTATGGCCAACACCCATATTATGGGCAAAATAGATTTTTTCTTCCTCCGAATGCCGACCGTAGATTTCTTCGTAAATATCAATTCTTGCGATTTAATACTAAAATATTCGTTAACTCTCTTTTTGATTTATTATTCAGTAAGTCCCATTAATATTGGTTTTTTTCGCGCGACAAAAAATAAATGTTAAATAAAAAGCAAAATAACTGATTTTATTCAGCTAGATTACCGTTTCAAATTCTTACGCTCAAAGAATATAACATTCCGAAGAGGATATTACATGTCTACTGTAATTTCTACAAAAGAAAAAATATTCTAGCTTCGGAATAATAGTTCAAGATAACAAAAAAAAATTCAAAAGAATGAATTTAAATATCATTAATTCTAAAAGAAATACCTTGTGCGATATGTACGAAAATTTGCCCACCGTCTCTCACCTTTCATTTATTTTATTTCATTACCCTCAGATGACTATGAATCGAAGTGAAATCCAGGCCCGCTCATTAAATTACTCTCAGATGACTGTGATTCGAGGTGGATTTCAGGCCCGCTCATTAAATTACTCTCAGATGACTGCAAACGTCTGTTTTCATCTGTTTTATTTGTATCATTGAACAATAATTCGAACAACAATTCTGCACAAAGTTTATTCAAAATTCCATACTTTCACATAATTTAAAATTCATACTCTCACATAATTCAAAATTCCATACTCTCACATTATTCAAAATTCAATAACATAATTCAAAATTCATACTCTCACATTATTCAAAATTCAATAACATAGTTCAAAATTCATACTCTCACATAATTCAAAATTCAATATAATTCAAGATTCCATACTCTCACATTATTCAAAATTCAATAACATACTTGAAAATACCATACCCTCAAATAATTCAAAATTCATACTCTCACATAATTCAAAATTCAATAACATAATTCAAAATTCCATACGAGTACGTTGCCACTTTTTTCCATATAACAGATGATAAAGATTTTTTATTGACCATTTTTCGTATTTGTTAAAAGCAACTCTGTGTTCTCTCCATTCTCCGCACATGAGATTTTTTTTTTATTTTGGTGTAAAAACGAAAGCCGGGTAACGGTTTCAAAGGAAATTTTACGAATGCACGAGGAAGCTTGCTAAATCAGAAAAATTGTTCAATAAAAGAAGTGATTCCACACAAGAATTATACAAAAGAACAACGATTATACAAAACAATTATACAAAAAATAGCAAAATAAAAAAAAAAATGATATTATAAAAGAATAAACTTCCGTGTTGTGTTAAAAATTTGTATTTTGCTAAATTAGATTTTTTTCCTCAACTTCAACTTCAATGTAAGTGCATTTTATAATTTAATATATTTAATTTTTTGCCTAGTAGTCCTTTCGGAGCAATTTCAAGCAATTTTATTTTCCTCCATTTCGTCTACTGGCGCATTTTTGTAGATGGCACAGCTTTTCACTACAAGGCGGGTTATTATTAGTCTCATATATTCTTTCACGTTTTTCAACTTAATTTTTTTTTATAATTAATTTGCTCAATAATTAATATGCCCTTTGAAAGTGGATGAATAATAATATTTTATTTATTATGTCTACATATTTATCATGTCTACTTGTAGTCGTTTTTACGGGCAGGAGAATGTTTACAATAGATATCATCTGTGTAGGTTTGAACTATACTTTTAACTCAACTAGGGTGGGCAAGAAAATTACTCGTCAGTTCCTTATAATGTGCGTAAGTCGATAACGTCCAAGGAGCCCAGAGTGTCGGATAGTAGCGGAGGAGCCTACTGAGCGCATCTTTTATCTAAATAATCGAGGCGGCCCCAAAAATCTGACAAGTTAAAAAGGAGTAAATTAAAGATACTATATAGGCTTAACACAAAAGTTTTCATGACTATTAGAGGCTTATTTGACGGGGCAACAAAGTAGAACAATTCGAATAAAAAACTCTGAGTAATTCAAACAATTGGACGAAATTTGTTCTTTTTGGTGGAAATTCTTCCATATTATCTAAAAACAAAGTCAAATTCTTACATATTAATACAGCGATCAAATTAAAAGTAAAAAACAAACATTTCAGTCTTTTTTTACAAGAAACTGTTGTATAATTCTCTGACAAAATAAAATTGTTTTTATGTATACGAAAATTTAAAAAAAAATGAAATTTGAAAATTTAACAAATATAAGTTTATTCATATTTATTTTAATTGGACAATTTTAAAACGGTAAACCGCTCTCTTTCCCATCACAAGTTTTTTCTGTTATTACTCTTGTTTTAATGAAAGAATTTTTTTGAAGATGTTGCAAATTCTCTACCATGAAAAAACACATACAGAACAAAAATTGTAACCTTCTAAAGCTGTTAAAAATTCTTTATCAGTAAATGCTATGGCCAGTTTAAATTGTTGATTAAAAATGAAGAGGAAGCCACCATGACACTCTTCCGGGGCAAATCGAAAAAATGATGGTATAAAAACTGAAATATACTTCATGTAACCAAGTTTAATTTCAAAAATTTATTCGAAGTTTTTATTCAATGAATTTCGGGCCATTGTTTGCTAATCGTATGTTACAATGAAATGCAATTCTGCTCTTTTCGTATCTGAATCCATGAATTTGATGATAAATTGTCCTTTTTTGTTACCAAAACAACGTGCTGTTATTACAATAACATAACCAGGGCAAAATAGTATAGGAACATCATTATTAAATACTTTAAAGTAATCGCAAGAATGTATGGCTGGCCAAGGATTTGGAAAGACTGTACGATGATCGATTTCTTTAATAACTTGGATCTGACCTTTTATTTCTAAAGCTTTCAACAATTCCGAAGGAACGTGATATCGATACGTAAAGATGTGTAAAGGTAGACAGCCGATTGATCCAACAGTCTTTTTTTCTCTTCGCATAACAAAAACAAAATTCAAGTGATTGACAATCGAGGGCTGGATGATTGCAGCTGAAAGAAAGAAGTTTGCCATGAAATAATAACTAAAGACCACCGATAATGATGGTGATGATGCATAGTTCACTGAACTCGATGAAAAAATGGCACAAATATGTTTATATACCTGTAGTATATATTATATCAAATGAAAATTTAGTTTCTTACAATATTATCTCACTTATTATCAATAATGTCGGGTGTCTCTTATTCATTTATTTATTTTTTATATTATTATTACTTTTACAATGTCTTATATGAATTGTAAATCTTATATGTAAGTCCTATATGAATTGTAAACAAATGTATTTATATTTGTTTTTGTCCGTTTTGCCACATATCTTCCACTCATTTTTCATTAAATATTTGTTAACATATACGATACAATACAATTCTCATGTATTAAAGTTTTACTGTATACACGTATCCTTTACCGCAAAACGTGTTATGTATTCTTTTTAAATTTTAGTTTTACGCTTGAACAATATAAAGTAGTCCTTTCCTATTTAAAAACATACCGAGATTCCCAAGAAAACTATGGGTATAGTAAAATGCACTTACAAGTCAATGATGAAGTTGAAGTTAACGATAAAAATCTAAAAAATCGTAGCTTTTTCTTAGCACAGTACAAATTCTTAACACAACATGGAAGTTTATTCTTTTATAATATTATTTTTATTTTTGTAATGTTTTGGTACTTTTTGGATAATTTTTCAATTGAAGTCACTTCTTTGAAAACTAAACTAGTTTCAAAAATTGTTTCCCTATTTTTTAACAATTTTTTTTTTAAATATTTTCTTTTATTTAACAATTTTTCTTTATCATCTGTTCTATGGAAAAAAGTGGCAAGCAGTCGTAACAAACTCTGTTAAATGGCAAAGCAGTCGTAAAAAACTTTGTTAAACGAAAAAAAAGTGGTGGAAAAATTCGTAGCAACAGCAACAGCTGTTTGAAATTGTACGTATTTCAATGACACATATAAACTAGATGAAAATACTTATTTTAGTCATTGATGACCATTTCACAATTCAGTAAAAGCTCCTTATTCACGGGGTATACGTTCCATAAAAATGCCGCGAATACAGAAACCGTGAATACGGAATGGTTATTTATATAGGATTTAGGGGATACGTTTCTAGGTGACAAAATGGAAAAAAATCAATTATTTAAGATTCTTCGTCATTTTCCGCAGTCAGAGCAGGCCACAGTTTTTTCTAGCATGACTTCAATATGTGGGGCTTCAGTTCTTCCAATGATTCTTTTATGTTTACAATGTATTTTGCTATGTCAAATTTCTTTCAGCATTCCATAACATTCATATCAGGCATAATGGAAGTGCGAATAAGGAACTTCTAATGTATTTATTTACACCACTTCTTTGTAAACCAAATTAGATAGAAATTGTACTAAAGTATAATACAAATCACAGAATCATTAACGACGTCGTCGTTTAATGTTGTCTTTTACATTATTTACGACTATTCATCGTTTGTTTTTTGTGTTCTTTTGATTTGGTTTTAGGCGTATCATAAGTTGATTCTGTCGCAAATTTATAGTAACCTAAACAACCATATAGGCTGCATCTGAGAGTAAACGTATAAAAATTTGCCACGAACTGAAAGTAAGCGTCTATGATTCTCAATAATTTGTATAAAAATTCGAACATATGAGAATAAGCGTATATGTTTGTTTACACTTCTCAATATTTAAACTATGGGCACTTTTGCAAGCTTTGGACGACGTCGTTTTACCTTTTACGCCCGCTTCCATTTGGGGACTCCCATTGAAAGTATGTCTTCATAAGGAAACAAGGTTTAATTTTTGATTTGAATTTTTCAGAGAAATATACGAAGAATTCTGTTATGTAAAATAATTTAGGCCGTTTGACGTTCTTAGGTTAAAGACATTAAAACATTAAAAACGTTTTTCGGCAAAGTATAGTTTATAAGATCTTAACAGTGTAATTCTGGTATTTCTGACAGTGCATTGTAACCATTTGAATTTGAATGTTGAAGTAGATGTATTGACGACGGAGGCTTTAGCTGACATTGTAGATGCAATTTTGGAGTCATTATTGTTTCAAAGACATCAAATCCCACTAGTTTACAAAACTTACCGACAACCAGCAATGTAAAAAATTCTAATTATACCGAAAATCATGAGTTATATGTGGGAACACAAACAGACACGCAAAGTGTTGTAAAAAGCTTCGAGATCGATGGAGGAGGAGCCCCTACAGTTGGATTGGCTCAATATGACGGACAATATATAGTCGGTACGGCAGACGGACGAATTCAACGTTTATTGAGAGAAAAAGAATGTGCGGCTGTGCCTGAAGTTAACATTATAAATGCCGGAGATAATATGGAACGTTTACGGCAATGTTCATTCGATCGGCGTCTGGTAGCTAGTGCTGGCCAAGGAAGACAAAATAATCCAAAATTTTTGACCTTGCTGTAGGGAAAATTCATTTTTCCTCCAAAAATCTACCTAACGACTATTTACAATTGGAAGCGATATGAATGCTGTTACGATTTACACTCTTTGGGAGGAGATGGCTGAACGGACTCATCAATTGTCTTATTGCGTTCGTCGATAATACATTTAATAATGTTTAATAAAGATGTTGCGTTTTATTTTTTGTCGTCATGTCTATTCGTATGCATTTGTTAATTGTTTAAGTTTTAAAAGTAATTATCTTATTAAAAAAGTTTTCTTAGTTAATAAATTTTTATAAAATGAAAAGCGTTTTAAGCAAAGTTTTCAATCATTCTAGTTTTTCGTTCCCAAAAGCAAAATACAAAAAACCTCGTGTCTACAGCTATTTTTATTTTAAATGCACGTAACATGCGCCGATTTGGAAACATTCTACACGTTTCTTGGTCATTTACTTGGTGTAGGATGTTTATTCTTGTTCATAATAAGCTGTAGAGCTCAAAATCTTTTATTATACCGAACAATCTAAAATCGTTTTTTTAACCGATCTAAGCTTCTCTGTCCATTTCTCTGCCTGTCGGTATAGATTGCAATTTTTGAGATATTTTGATGAAGTCTGATACACTGACATGGAAGAACGCTGTTGAACATGGTTTGAATCGGTCCACTTTTCCTACCACTCCCCATCATTTGAAAAGTTATAGGAGAAATAATTCGTTATATATATGTCTATAATCATTATTATTTGATCAATATCACAATTTATCGACAAAACTCGCTCTCTGATAGCAATTGGACATTCTAAATTGGTATGAAAAATTTGATTCAGCTGTGGCAATTTTTTCAACCTGCTCCAATGTAACCGTTCATACGAAAACTGGATCTTTATATGGTAAAAAGATATAATTTTCAATATTTCGTGGTGAAAAATCGTTTCTAACCATGTAGGTCCACTTTTTGCATATCGCCTCTCGCATATAAAGACTCTCAAGAAATGTAAATTCTTATATGTCAAAAAGGCGTTGGATCAAATTCCATATAAGATTCCTAGTAACCCCTTATAAAAAAATTAAATTATATTTTAAACTATTAAAATGTTTAACTTTTAATATTTGATGACGAAATTATTGCACAGCATCACTTTAGAGAAAAATTGACGGTTCTGAATTCGGATCAGATAGATCTATTTTGTAAAACGTAATATATGTAAAGATTATCATGAAAAGTAAGCCCTTCTACAGAGAGAAAGTTTAATTTCTAGATTTTATGATGGAAACTGAAAACTTGCTAAATCTGGGTCACGCCAGTTGCTGTTTTAGGCACCTTCCAACGTGTGGACTTCCATGAAAAGCACTGCTTTCCATGAAAATTGTGTATAATTTTGGCGTATTCTTACTACAACGAATGCATAAGTGTTTTAGAGAAAGCTGTGTAGAGTATCTTATTATTGGCACCGCCAAACTATAATTTCCGTAGTTGTTTTTGTACAGTTATTGCGACAACAATGGAACTAATTAATAAATTTAATTTTTTCTTTTATTATTGTTGTACAACAAATGAAGACAAAGCAATCGCAAATATTTCGATGAAACTTGTTACTTTGAGTTGTTTTGGCCTAAGGTTGAACGCTATTGAAAATTATTCAGATCAGTCTCTCTTTTCGACTACTGCCCATTTATCGCCTTATTTTGGAAAGTTATGCGAATAACTGTAGGATTGCGTAGGATAGTGGGCTACAGCCCACTATAGTGTTTTTACTTGTTTTATTATTAAACTGGAGCAGTCGTATACATGTATGTCGCATTTTCATATACTTCACAATGTCCCATGAAGAGTTCGGTGTGATTTCAAATTCCCGTTTAATTTTTATTTGCCAATCAGTGATAAAAAGTAAATTTAGTTACGTTTACACGCAAGACTTTCCATATCGCACAAATCATATTTTGGAATGCGAGTTTTATTTATTAGAAAATTTGGGTTGCTGTCTGATTGTGTATCAACCGTATCGTCCGTTATTGCAGCTAGTTCAAGATATGGGGCAAGAGGATCAGTTATTAACATTTAGTTGGCGAATTGTTAATGATTCGTTACGTACTGATGTTTGTTTGTTGTATCCATCATTCCAAGTTAAGTGAATTAAATTCACAACAAGTATTCATAGTTAAATTAACAATTCTATATATCATTTAACAGATTGCTATAGCAGGCTTACAAATCGCCTGTGTCATATTGCAAAAAGACTCGATGAAGCAATGGTTTGCTGAACTTAACGTTGATTTGGACAAAGTTCAGGAAATTGTACGCGCCATTGTTAATCTTTTCGAGTTATGGAAAGATTGGAAGGAAAAAGACGAAATACAAATACTCTTAGCGAAAATACCGAAACCAAAACCTCTTTATAAAAAAGCCTCATCGATGCGAGATTAATGTGTATATTCGTACTCAATAATTTCCGTATACAAATTCTATATAATTGAGAAAATACAAATTCCATACAATTGAAAATGCCTTTAGAAAATAAACGCATATTCGTTCTCATTAATTTTGCATGTATAGGGTGCAGAGCCAAATTCCTTATGTCATTGAAGAAGCCGATTTTTTAATCGAAGTCACAGCCTTCGCCTCCTCCGTTAGCTAAAGTATTTGTTTGCGTTTTTTTCAACTGACTTCACAGCTCAGTTATAGTTTTATCAAATTTTCTCTAATAAAGCATTTTGCAATTTCTTAATCATTTAAGTTAACTGATTTTATTGCCGATTATTCAACAATTTATTCGAAAAAAGATGTATCTTAAATCGGCGCCTTTTTATTTAAATCCATTTCCTCACAATACGTCGGCGTACTAAATTCCACTATAATATCTCAAAAACTGCGGCTTATAGGATCAACACAAGAAAGCAAAACCGACAGGTACGCACAAGCTTAAATTGATTCAAGAGCGGTACTCAATTTATCGACGCAGTGAGTCTACCTAAACACCTTCTGGGTTTTGCATACGTTCGCACAAATACATCCGCGCACTACAAGCAGTGTATAGTAGAAAAATTGGTAAAAACTTCGAGGCACGTGAAAGTGATAATAAAGAAATACATTGTTAGGTCTTTCGTCAATAAATTCGAGAAAATGACAAGATTATTACGATTTTTACAGTCACCCGATTTACTTTCAAAAGTGCCTGATCCGAAATAGTTGCCTGCCACAGTTCACATTTCTTTGCGTTAAAGTCGTTACAAACATTTTATTATGTGGTCATTGTTATTATATTAAATTATATAAAAATTAAAATTTTAATTAATCATAAGTGTAACAAAGTATGTCATTAATAAAACTAATACTTTGTTATACATTACACCAATGTGCAGCACCTAGAAGTGCTTGAGATAGACCTACTTCTTATTATACCGATCGATTTAGAATCACTTTTTGGTTTGATTTAAACGTGTCTTTCCGTTTATTTGTCTATTTCCTTGTCAATCGAGCAGAAATTTCGGCTGAAGAAAGGTATGGAGCAGAATATGACATGTAGAAGGAATACTCTTTGGACTGGCTCCAAGCTCCTAAATTGACCGAATCTTAAGGAATTTTATAAAAAGCATCGTTCGTACGTTTTATTGATAAAAAGTGAGTGCAATAGAAGAAAAAAGCTAAAAACCTACAAATTTTTTAAATCTTAATAATTCTATTAATTAAAAAAACTTCTCCTAATAAATTTAATGAAGGAGAAACAGCTATATTAGTAGAACACAAAAGAAATCATCTAAACCCTATTGAAGATATAAAATTTAGTATACCTTTATTAATAAATAAACTTCGTCTTCCTATCCGCTCATAAGAAATATTTGCTAAACAAAATTATCCTGATGAACATAACCCGTTAGCAATTATTAAAGTATAAGATCCACGAATCCCTGTATAACTAATTGTTATTAATCCTAACAATACAATTCCTATATGAGCAACAGAAGAGTAAGCAATTAAAGCTTTTAAATCTACTTGGCGTAAACAAATTAATCTTACTATTACCCCTTACAATGCCTTCGAAAGTCATTGTTCTATTCTTCTATCTTTTTTTTGCATCCAAATAAAACGGTAAAGGAAAAACAAAGCTTTTGCATGTTCGCAGGATATTATTAGTCATTTTATCGATCTTGTTTATGAAAATGGCATGTCTTCCAATGCTTAGATGTATCTAAAATTTATTTTAATAAAAACCATAGCTGTTGTAACTTATTTCCAATTTCGTCCGATTGATTTCAACCTTAAAGGTAGTTAGACTCAATCATGTAGTCTTTGTTTTAATACTGTGACATTCAAATTAAATCGTTTCAACATATATATATATATATGACGAAATAGATGTGGAAAAATAAGTATGATTTTAAAAAGAAAAAATTAAATTGATCTTACTCTTTATACACAGAAATAGGTAGTTTTCGGCAGTGATTTCCTTCGAAAAAAATGCGAAAATTATTTTTAAAACTTAAAAATGCATTCACCTGATAAGGGTCTGCCGATTTTATTTAGAGCAAACTTGAGAAAGGATTATTTTGTGTATGAATCCGAACTTCGCACCACTAAAACTCATTACAATGCTTATCATAATTTTCAAATAAATTATCAGATCGAGGTTAAACATCGTAAAAGGCACTTTGAAACCCTCAGTGCCAAGCACCAATTTCCAGAAGATAGTGATAGTTTACTGTGCAGCTGCTGTTTGAAGTGTATATCAAGCTTATAGACGCATAGACGATGATCGTGGCGAATCCTATGAGTTGGGCCAATCAACAGGAAGTGCATGCGTTGCATGTTACCAAAATACTGGATAAAGCAAGCTTGTCGTGTCGAACTTTTCAAACAGAGGCAATCCAATCGACATGCTCTACATGCTCTTTGAATATAATTTTATTAGTTCAAATGATTACTTCGGGTTTGCAAATTATCTACCTATACGCTAAATCCAGTTAAAAATGAAGAGCGTTTTCAATTCATTGAATGAAAAAAAGCAAATGGAAGAATTTTTCTTCTCGGTATATCCTCAGTTCAGTTCTTTTAGCAGAAAGGCTCCTCCTCTTTGTTGCGTTTCTTTTTTTTTCAACTTTTCTCGTAATTATGTATTAATGATATTTTTGTTGGTGTAATTGTTTAATTGTAATAATGAACTAAACAGTAATAATTGTTGCATCGAAAATACATGTATAAAGAACAAAACAAAACGCGAAAATAATCAATGTTCGACTAATCCACGGAGAGATAAAGCCAAGAACCAGGCCAACAAACGTTGCAAAAAATATGACCCTTGCTTGTCTGCGCTAGACATCTTGAGCTTTCAAAAAATAATGTGCTGCATGTTTTAATTGTAAGACAAGCAATTATATCCTGTTTTATCCTAATTTAGAGATATACAGAACATACAGATTAGAGAACATAACGTCAAAATCTTTAAAATATTTAACTTCTATTATATCAATACCTCACTTCTCAATACCTCGAAACTCCAAGTCATGCTTCTTTTCTCTAATACCAAATCAGATAGGTTACAAGTTTTATATTCGCTGAAATAACTATTTTCTATTAAACAACCAATTCCATTTCACTTTGGCTTTAATGGATTAAACTGCAAACAGCAAATCAAGGTTTGCTTTCTGTAGAAAATTGATATCAGCCCGGTCAATTTGAAGTTCAAGGAAATAAACTTTCTTTACAGATCAATACTTGGAACAATATTCAAATTATCCTACATGTTCAACAAATACACGGATTGAACTCCTTTTTGCCTTTTTTCAATTCCATTTCGCTTACATGCCGTTCTTTGTAACGTCTGCAAATGCATAAAAAAATCCCATAAAAGATGTGTATTTATAATAACGGGCCGTATATGGTTCTCGATATCGAATAAACTCGATTTGTAAACAATTTCGCGATCGAAAGATTTTGCATTCAACAGTAAGAAAAATGGGTAGTTTCTCGATAACTCTCTCATATTCGTTACAGCAAGCCCATAGTTGACAGCTATAGAGTTTACTCAATACTGAGCTTGGTTGTTGATTAAATATATGTGTCCATATCTCGTTTGTTCAGAACTAAAATCACAATATAGTTTTAAATATTTTCTTCTATATATTGTCGCAGTAATGTAGCTGATAAGCTTTAGCAGCTTCACATTCTTTGAAAAACTTTCAAGCACGTTTCAATGGAAAATTGTTATATTTGGACTATATAGGAGACTTTTTAAAACCCCTTGCGCCATAATCCGAAGGTTTAATGCGTTCTGACACCTGAGGAAACCCTGGGTCACCCGGATTACAAGCCACACGGGAGGAAACCACGCGCCAGCCTCCTTTGCGTGTCCAATCCTACTCAAATAGAATGCACTTGTCATTACTTAAAAATCATCAAATGTCATCTTGATTTACGTTTTGGTTGTATTTAAAATAATAGAAACCGCCATATACTGCCCCCAAAAACAAGCCAATTTTGCCTGTCCAAAATCGTATAGCGAAAGCACGCCCATGGCCCTAGAACAAAAAAGAACTTATTACATAATTTTTTTAGAAATTAACGTTTCCATTCAATTTACCAAAACGGGTGTCAATACATCACATAATTTATCCAAAGGCATTCTATAAAAACGCTTGATAGGATTTTGCAGTTCTCTTTCAAGAGCAGGCACAGCGCAGGGTCCATGATGAATCTCCAAGTCTTTCAACCATTGCTTTCGCCAAGCACGTTCTTCGTCGGTCATGCCAATCAGACGCTCGCGTTCACGTACCATGCGGCCAGCAATGGACATTGGCTTAACTCCTCCAGTATCGGATGCACTCATTTTTTGTTTTTGGTAACAATCTAGCAAGAAGAATTTGTCAAAAATTGCAGAAAAAATCGACCTGTACCTATGTTAAAAATTGTTATGATTTCAGAGACATCTGTTTTTTGAAAGCTAAAGTCAAAAGAGGTGATAAAAAAAATTAAATTAATATGGTTGTCAAATTTATTTTAAGGAATAGGAACAAGGCACATCGAAAACGTTCGTGCTTATCAAGCGTGGGGATGAAAATCATGTGAATTTAAACTCTGTATGTTATTTCTTTATTCGTACTGGGAATTCAACTTTTCGAAATTTTTGCAAGATTCGCAATTTCTCTTTCAAAAAGATAGAAAATTTCAAATATTCCTTTTATTAAATATGCAATATTTTCAAATTTATAATAAAATAATGTAACATTTGAATCAAATTAAAAAATATAACGAAAATCCAAAATGTAAAACATTTTGTGAAAACGGCCAAGAAATTAATGTATGCGGAAATGTTATCAAAACTTTTATTAATTATATATTTGATCCCACACTTATCAAATTAGATTATGTCGATTCGATTTCTTGATTCTTTTCTGTCTTGTATTCGCACATGTCAAATAACTTCCCACACAATAATTAATAAGCATAAACAAAATAATTCCTGTACTTAAACACTACTTTTTAAGAAATAATTAAAAATAAAGGCAATTGCAAACAAATACTCAAATACTAAACATCGTTTTATTTAACTGGTTCCCAATGTCAAAGAGCAAAAAGACGAAAGAAATGTCATTCGGAAGAAATCTTGAAACAGGAGGCAAATAGAAAATTCAAAACTCACCAAAATGGTGAAAAATAAAAATCGATTCTGAAACAAGAACGTGAAAGCTGGAAGATTAAGTAACGAAAAATTAAAAAAGTTCACCAAAGTAGTGAAAAATAAAAATAGACTCCGAAACAAGAAAGAATAAAAAAAAAACTTTCTTCTGAAGTATAGAAAATTTAAAAATTCTCCAAAGTAGTGAAAAATAAAAACATTAAAAAAGTAAAAAAATTAAAACAAAAGAAACAGTAAAACAACAAAGAAAATTTTTATTTAATTCTGAAAAGAAAAGAAACGAGGAAAAAAACAAAGAGCCGCAAGCGGATGAATCATAATTAAACAAAAACCCGAACGGGTAATAAAATGGGAATCCGCATTACAACTGTCATTTAGGTTTTTTCTTAATAAAGGTAAAATAAGGCAAAGTAAATATTTGTAAACATATTCTAAAGCTTTATCGCAAGTTAGTACTCTTTATTGTAGTATCAATTTCTTATTCTGAATGCGGTTAAGCTGTCGGTGTTTTTACAAAAGATTTTTCAAGAGTGCTTTCAACGGTTTACAAAGACACATGCCGAACATAAATTAGGGAAAACAACTTCAGTCAGAACAATACTCTACGTCATGGTTATATGGTTTACTTTTTTGTTCGTTTCAAAACCGTTTTAATTCCGGCTAAATTGAGTCACACAAAAAGTTAATTAAAGAAAAGGGAATAAATTAATAAGCTTTAAACATTCGTACTTTTACTTTACCATAAGTTTTCAAACAAAGTTTCTTCTTTTCCATTATAAATATAATAATTTTAATGTTACGCTTATTTTTTTTTTGGGTTCTTCAGTTAAGATGAAACAAAGCAATAAATTTGTGGCTTAAATGTCCAGATGATAAACAGTCGTAATATATGGTAAGAATTATATGTAAAACACAACAAAAAAGTGGCTAAAAAGAACAAGCAACCTAAACCAAAAAGGAACAAAAACAAGCAACCTACAGCAAAAAAATTAACGTTTGAATTTCTCAAATTTATATATATATTTATTTATATCTAGTGAAATAGGACGAGAGCAAATGAATTTTATAAATTATATCATGTGAATATATCGGTCCTCCTTGTTTATGTTGCTTATGGCCAGCAATTTAATAGCCAATATGTTAAGAGTAAATGTGTGTACATGAATTGTCGTTGAGTTGTTCAAAAGAAAAAAACAGTGTTGCAAACTTTGGCTGAAAACAGTATTATAGGGCAACAAAACAGTATTCTATAGCAATAGAAAACGATTGAACGCAAAAGATAATAATAATAATAATAACGGTAAATTCGCTTTTCTAATAAAGCAAGTTAGTGCCCGAGATTGCGTATATTTTTTGCTACAAAGAGATCGAGGAGACCGTCATATAACTTGAAGAAGCTAAAAGAACTTATAATACCGTCAAGCTTGCGACATCTAAAAATTAGATGCTCAGCAGACACGACGACATTGCAATCTTCACAAATCCCACGTGGTGTCACTTTTAAATGTATTTAATCATAAGTGCGACCACTCATGAGTCTAGAAAGGATATTGATTTTCCACGAATTAAAGGAAGCCTCTGAAAATCGTTTATATTGAAATTTGGGATTTATTTTGTAGAAAAGGCGGGTCGATTTAACATGTGCAAACTCTTTAAATTGATCCTTCGGTTATTGAAAGTTCCGAATTGGCCGTATTGCTTCATTGGGAGTGTATTTGATGGACAAAATTGTCCCATCAACTTGAGCCCTTTTTGCATGAAATACGGCTTTTTCATTTAAAAAAAAACCGTAGTGACCAAACCGTAGTATCCAAATAAAGTGATAGTCGTCCGCATGAGATTCATGTATAATTCTATGTATATCAAGCACATATTGATTATCTGCATCTCTTTTATTTGTAGGTAGAGCTGACTTGCTACCCGAAAACATAACAATTTTCTTGATACCATCAGTAATAGCCACCTTAATGTCTGGATGTCTGACAGCAAGCAACACGATAAAAGTCGAGGAAAGTTCTCCCAATTTGACTCTATATACTATTTTAGACAGATGCTTCACCACCAAGAAGCTAGATACATTATGTCCGAGGGAACCGTCAGTGGCATCTAATCATAGCCGTTGTTGTAATAAAGAAGAACCTTTTCTTAACATAAGATCCTCGTACATGCGAAATTGGAGGTAGAGATCAATTCAAGAATGTTCGTGAAGACCCTACATTTGTTAGTAAAAAAATTTCAAAGAGGAATTGAAGTTATCTTGTCAAAAATGTGACATAGTTTTTGAGAACATAATGTGTAGCTGCAGGAAATATTATCACTCAGGTATATAACTTTCTGAAAAAGAGGACGATTCGTTATGTTGACCTCAATTAGTTCTTTGGCAGTGCAAGGAAGAGCTCTTTCGGAAACTGGCCATTGACCAGAAATGGCTTTAGGAATATGTTGAGGAGTTGAGGGGATAAGTCCAGTACAACGTTTTAACACTCAATTTTTATATGTTTGTATAGGTTTCTTAATGTAATTTGGGTAATTGCAACATGTAGAATGTGCAAATTCAATTTTGGACCTGACTAAAGATTTCTATACAGTCAAAGCTTTTTTGGGGGGCAAGCCTGACTGATTGTTAGTCGTGAGTTTGATGATATTGCACCCAGATTAACAGTCTTTGAATGCTTTCTCATAATGTCCACGAAGAATTAGGCCGCCACTTAAAATTCTACTAACAAGCCGAAGAGATTTCACCTGATCAACTTTAGTTCCTTTGATAAAGAGCCTGATTTCACGTTTAGGATCTTCGACAATATAAGTAGTGTTTGTTTATAAATTAAGATCGGCGCATGAATCGAAAAAAAGAGCAGCTTTTATCGAGAGATTATTCACAGCCGCTGAAAAAAGATGATTGCGCAGATACAATTAGGAAATCATCTGCATATTGAAAAATATGAGTTTGGCCACCTTGAAAAGGCTTTAGCAGCTGCCTTGTGGAATACCACCGTATACTTCAATTTTGTCTGTACCCATTACTAACACACACTTGGGCAAAAAATGTATCATCCACAGATGTATTTGAAGAGGAATTGAGTTTACAAGAATTCCATCAAGCTTCAACCAGTTGACACAATCACAGACTTTGCTGATGTCCAAGGAAATCATAACAACCATTTTATTAGCTTTTTTAAACTAGGTATGAAAAAAGATAGTTCATTAATGCGCATATTTTTACATTTGCGTTCTTGATAGACTTAAGGACGAGTTGGAATAATGTTTCCGGTTTTCAAGAAATCCATTAGTCTCTCCTTAACCATGAAGTCGATAATCTTTATGAATACGGATATTAGCGAAATTGGTCTGAAGTTACTTAAATCATTAAAGACCTGTCTTAGCAATGGGAACTACCTTGATACATGGCAAACCTAGTGGTATAAACTTAATAGACCAGTAGTTACTAATTGCATGCAAGAGGATATTTAAGCTTCCTCCAGACAGTGCTCTGACCATGTCATACTTAACTCCATCACAACCTGAAGCAGCAATCCTCTTTCTGGAATGTAATACATACATTAGCCCACACAATAAAAAGGGTGTATTGTTCAGACCATTAGAAGGAATTGAAGGTAATGTAATCAGGTTAACACTTGGAATATAGCTCATGAGCATATCCAAGTATCTTTTATTATCATAGTCATTCCACACAGCACAACCATTTAATTTTCGACTGAAATGTCGATGACCATTGATGTAATTCCAGAAAACACGCGAGTTTCTATTACCAGGCAACTCTTTAATCGTAATAGCAATATGCGTCCTTTTCGCCTTTCTAACTGCAGACGTCCATTCCTTCAGTGTGCTTATATAATCAACGAAGTTGGCTGGATATTTACTCAATTTTTTCCTTGCAGCTTGGTATTTACGAAAAAGTGTTGACAGGAGAAGTCCACCAACGTTTAGATAATATCAGAAAAGTTAGCTCTAGTAGACTTGGTCGCGGATTGAAAATCACTTTGAATTGATGATAAGTCTGAACCAAGATCAACTTTATACAGGCGGTCTATAAGTTACGCGAAATGAAAATTTATATTTTTTTAACGAAATTGTTTCGATTGTGGAATAAAATGGAAGAGTGCTGACCTTTGCCAATGGAAACATTGGACGTGTTCCAGTTGAAAGATAAAATAGTTCAGTTAGAGAAAGTTAGATCCAAGACACTGCTCGCCGTGCGACCGTTCCGGTTACAGTGAAAGGTAGTATTGCCGTTATTTAAGACACTGAAACTGCTGGAATTGATGGCATTTACAAGGATTTTGCCTTTGTTGGTAGAGACTTGATCGCCATAAAGGCGGTGTCTTGCATTGAAATCTCCAGCTAGAATCACATTTTGTTCACCGTCAAGAAAGTCACATAATCTCTGAATCCCATCACGAAAGATTTGCACATCGCGACTGGGTGAAAAGTAGGATGATGCTATGAAAAGATTCGGTTTCAGGTTCATGGTTTTGATGATGATAATGTCAACGGCAGAGTTTTAGGGAATACGTCTGAAATTGACACCTTTCTTAACTAATATACTAACACCGCCATAGCCATCATTTCAGCATTGGTGGCTGAGGCATAATTCGAAACTTTAACTTGAAAACAGTTTTCATCTTTCAGAAAAGTTCACTTAAGATGCAGAAATCAACCTTGTTTGCGTTTAAGTAAAAATCCAAAAACGATAGGTTATGCCGGACACTTTGAATATTATATTGTAAAAAGGATATCATGTTGAAACTTGGGAAAGAAGCTCAGCGGATTTCCTCGTAGTACTGGGTGCTTCAACGGGGCAGGAAATGGCACAGACGGACATTTTTTCTTCAAATTCTTTAATAAGATTATGAGGGATCATCGGACGTTTCAAGTTCTGAGGACCGCAAAAGCTGTTTGAAATTATTGAACGCCGAAGACTTGTTCCAGACGGCTTGGGTGGTGAATTGAGGAAGGCTTGGTGGCTGAACTGAAAGGAGATTTGAAAGGAACCGATTCCTTTTTGGCGACAGCATTATATTTATTTTTGTTAAAATTTTGGAGTGACAGGATAAAGAACTATTACATCCAGGTACTGCAACTTTCAAATCAACCTGCAACCCACCCGTGTAGGTACTATCTAAAAAAGTGAATGCTAAAGATAAAGAGAAGCGTTTCAGCGTTTCCCATCAACAATGGAAAATATGAATTTACGCTGTTTCCATTTGGATTGAATTATGTTCCATAGATATTCAAAAGAACCCTTGTTGACATCCTGCACGAATATATAGCGAACATGCCGCTATATCTATATTGACAACATAATTATATTCAGCAAGGATGAAGAAACGTATTTGAAATATATTAAAAAGGTATTTCTTACTCTACAGTCAGCGACTCTGAGTGATCGAAATTCCAATAGAAAGCTTAGACGGTGGAAATCCGAAATCATGAAATGTATTAAGGCGGACGAAACTTTTGAATGAATCTACCTACGAATGCAATAACATCGACGTAGCGAACCGCTCGGCTCAATTGGTCAACTATCGGATTAAGAATATCACAATCAGGTAAGAAAATGATTAAGAAATTACCAAATAGGGGATAGAGTTCGCCGAACTAAAAGAAATTGTCGTTTTCTTTTCAGCATAACCATAATAACCTCCAATTCAGACGAAGTTAATGTCCTCGGTCACACAAACTCACAAATAGTAGGGACAGATTACAGACTTTGCCAAGAAACAATCGGATACCATGAATTAATACACGGTATCGACTTAGAGGAATAAGGAAATTTACTCTGCCGTAAGCTACAACGGAACCGAATATATAAGTGTTTTATATTAACCGCGTCAATTTCCAAATTGGTTGCCGGAAACTCGGACCATGATTACTTTGAAATCTTGCAACAAAAAAAATATCTTAAAAAATAGCACTAAGCACGTAGAATGTTTTTAGAAAAAATGGACGAACTAACGCCAAGAACTAACGAAGTGCTAAAAACTGTCAAAGATGAGAACACTAAGGATTCTTTAATAAACCAATTAAAATAAAACTAGACATAATAGAAGACGAGGTTATTAATCTACCACATACATTGGGCTAAAGTGCTAGGGCTAGAATGGTAAACCCCTTCATTTCGCCTGGCGATGAAATGGAGATGGTACAAATCTCTACGATATAGAAAATATTAATAATATTGAAGAATCTTTTGAGTTTAGCGAGATCAAGATAGCTACTAGTCATAGTTCCCTCCTCTAAACTATTAGCATTTCAACAACGGTAAAACAGTCATCAAACAGAATACCTTTGAATAAAGACTGCAATCAAATTGTGGCGACTTACAATTGCACTTTTAGACATTGAACGCAAAATGGGCAATATTATCTGCTACACTGCACCCATCCTCATCATATTAACCATTTATTGCCTCTTTTTGAGGAAATTATGAAAGTACCATTTGACTCTTACCTGCCATGTGTTCTTAAATGTCAAATAAGTTCCCAAACAATAATTAATAAGCATAAATAAAACAATTTCTATAATTAAACATACATTACTTTTTAAGAAATAATTCAATATAAACGTAGTTGCAGCCTCAAATACTACGTGTTATCGCGATTGCCAACTTACTATGATTATTTTGCGAGCAATAAGCTTTTCAATCGTTTTCAATTATTTTCGCATTTCATTTCATGTTCTTCACCATATATATATGTCTTTATATATGTATATAAATTTGCAATCAATCTAAACGCTGACTAATCAATGTCCACACAAAAAATTCGTTTTCACATTGAGCATTGTTTGCTAAGCACAGTGAATCGTATGTTGTTAATTTACGGAATTGAACAAAAAGAGGAAGAAATCGTGCTTCAAAATTTTGTTTCCAATTCATTTAATATCAAAGAAAACGATTTTGTTCTATAATATCTTTGATAAGTTTTATTAGCTTGGTCCATCTTAACTCAATATCTGCCAAGAAAAAAAAAATATCCTCAATAAGCAAACAAAAATCTCTTTCTTTCTAATGGAGGATGTGGACGAGTTATTTAATTGCTTTAATGAGACAGCAGATATCGATATTACTGAGGAACTAATTCCACCGGAAGAATCAGTTATCGCAGTTGTAGACAAAGGTGGATTAAAAGAAAATGAGAGGTAACTAGCAATTTCCATTTTTTGAAAGGAAGTTAGAGAGTTATTTTTCTTTAGTCCCAGAAGTATTGAAAAACGTGCCCGTGTTGTCAATAGCGCTGAAGATGCGGCTGAGGATACTAAGCGTATTAAGATTACTGAGTCCATATTGGATGATATTTGTGTGGACGCTTTGAAATCATGTGTAATCGTCCATGTTATCAAATCACCTGAGTCGTGCACTCACGAAGTGGCTATATATCCGGGGCAAGAATATGTGCCTCTGCAATATTTTATTGGCAAACCCGCCAAATGTTACGCTTTTGTTTTGGATCCTTTTCAAAAAGAGGCCATTTTATGCATTGATAACCAGCAAAGTGTTCTAGTTTCGGCTCATACATCAGCGGGCAAAACAGTAGTGGCTGAATACGCCATCGCCAAATCATTAAATGCTAAACAGCGGGTGATCTATACAACACCAATTAAAGCTTTATCCAATCAAAAATATCGGGAATTTAATGAAGAGTTCAAAGACGTAGGCTTGGTAACGGGTGATGTGACAATTAACCCTTCGGCGTCCTGCTTAATTATGACGACTGAGATTTTGCGAAATATGTTGTACCGTGGCAGTGAAATTATGCGTGAGGTAGGATGGGTAGTGTTCGATGAAATTCACTATATGCGTGACAAAGAACGCGGCGTAGTTTGGGAAGAGACATTAATATTGTTGCCCGATAATGTGCGATATGTTTTTTTATCGGCCACTATACCGAACGCTCGTCAGTTTGCGGAATGGGTGTGTCATTTGCATAAGCAGCCATGTCATGTAGTCTACACGGATTACAGACCAACACCGTTGCAACATTACATTTTTCCAGCAGGTGGCGATGGGTTACATTTAATTGTGGATGAAAGCGGACATTTTAAGGAGGACAATTTCAACACCGCCATGGCCGTTCTACAAAGTAGCGGTGAAGCTGCCAAAGGTGATCAAAAAGGACGTAAGGGAGGGATTAAAGGTGTAAATAGTGGCCAATCCAATATATTCAAAATCGTGAAAATGATTATGGAAAGAAATTTTGCTCCGGTCATAATTTTCTCCTTTAGCAAAAAAGATTGCGAAGTTTATGCTATGCAAATGGCAAAACTTAATTTTAATACGGCAGATGAGAAGAAACTGGTCGATGAGGTATTCAACAATGCCTTAGACGTCCTATCGGAGGAAGACAGACAGTTGCCACAAGTTGAAAATGTGTTGCCGTTGCTACGGCGTGGTATTGGTATACACCACGGTGGATTGTTACCAATCCTGAAAGAAATAATTGAAATTTTATTTGGCGAAGGTTTGCTTAAGGCTTTGTTCGCCACGGAAACTTTTGCAATGGGCCTGAATATGCCAGCCAGAACAGTTTTGTTTACTGCGCCTCGTAAGTTTGACGGCAAAGATTTTCGCTGGATATCTTCAGGAGAGTACATACAAATGGCCGGCCGTGCAGGACGTCGGGGTCTTGATGATAAAGGTATTGTAATCCTTATGATTGACGAGAAGGTGTCGCCAGGTGTTGGTCGAGATATCGTCCAAGGCAAAGCAGATCCTATCAACTCGGCTTTTCATTTAACGTATAACATGGTGCTCAACCTCCTACGAGTTGAAGAAATCAATCCAGAATATATGCTGGAGCGGTCATTTTTTCAATTTCAAAACCAATCTTCTATTCCAGAATTGTACAAACAAGTCCAAGAAAAACAGCAAGAACTGGATAAGTACAGGGTCAACGAGGAGCATAGCGTCGTTTCTTATCACCACATACGTACACAATTGGACTCCTTGGGTAAAGAATTCCGAAAATGGATAACCAAACCTGAATATTTAGTTCCATATCTTCAGCCCGGCCGTTTAGTAAAAGTGCAAAGTGAATCCGACGAATTCGATTGGGGGATTGTAGTTAATTTCAAGAAGCAATCGAACAATACTCGGAATCCTCTGAAATCTGAAACTGTGGTCATTGTAGATGTGCTCCTGCACGTTACAGAAGAATCGGCAAAAAACGATGAACCCAAACCCTGCAAAAAGGGACAAAATGGGAATATGGAGGTTGTGCCTGTTGTTCACAAACTCATATCCCATATTTCCTCACTACGCGTATACTACCCGAATGATCTAAGGCCAGCCGATAATCGACGCAGCGTTCTCAAAACTATTAATGAAGTTAAAAAACGTTTTCCTAAGGGCCCCCCACTTCTCAATCCAATTACAGAAATGCATATTAAAGATGCAGAGTTTAAAAATATTGTTGACTCGATTCATAAGTTCGAAGAAAGACTTTTTGCTCATCCTCTACACAGATCTTCCAATTTGGACTGCGTGTACACTCTTTACAAAGGAAAGTTGAATGTACTAGAGCAATTGAAAATTGTTAAAACCAAGTTAAAAGAGGCTCGCAGTCTATTACAAATGGACGAGTTAAAACACCGTAAACGGGTTTTGCGACGCATGGAATATTGTACTGCCGCTGATGTTATTGAATTTAAAGGGCGCGTGGCTTGCGAGCTTAGCTCAGCCGATGAGCTGTTAGTAACTGAAATGATATTCAACGGAATTTTCAATGACTTGACCACTCCGCAAACAGTGGCATTGCTGTCGTGTTTTGTATGCGATGAGAAATCTGCTGAAACGATAAAATGTGCAGAAGAACTTTCTGGTCCTTTGCGTTCTATGCAAGAGTTGGCGAGAAGAATTGCTAAAATCTCAACTGAATGCAAATTGGAATTAGATGAAGAAGCTTATGTAGAGAAATTTAAACCATTTCTCATGGATGTGGTTTTGGCTTGGTGTAAAGGCGCATCGTTTCTTAGTGTATGTAAAATGACCGACATATTCGAAGGATCTATAATACGATGTATGCGTCGTCTTGAAGAATTATTGCGACAAATGTGTCAAGCTGCTAAAACAATTGGTAGCACAGACTTAGAAAATAAATTTTCGGAGGGTGTACGTCTACTGAAACGTGATATTGTTTTTGCCGCATCTTTATATTTATAACGCAAAGAGACCGATATTTGCATTTCATTACAATTCGCTTGTTTTTCTTTTAATTTACTCCAAATAGATTTCATTGCTTTTATCTAATTATGTATGTATGACTATATATTTCAAACGAATCAAATATCCAGCAAAAACATATTTCATAATTTAATTCAAATTTTCAACTACTTCATCAACTTGCGAGCGGAGGTTGATATTTGCATTATCTATTTGCTGTATTTAATTGAATTTCTTCTATATTTTAAAGATAATTATTTTGAGTTGATGCTTATACGTCGAAATGGGCAGGACCTGTTGAAAGTTAAACTTAAATACCATATTAATTCGGAAGGAAGTTTCACTATACAACAAAATGTTCTTGGCTCGACGAAGTAGGGGTAGTCCTTGATGTCCGCTTATCATCAAGACCAAGTGGTCAGTTTTTCAAACGGCATGCTGCTCACTTGTATTGTTTAGTTGGTTTTTGCAATGTCTACCAGAAATCAATTGCTTACGTGTGAACGAAACGGCTGAACGTGATCTGAAGCTCGTTGGTAAACCCAACGTAGCCACCATATATAAGGAAACTAAGCGCGATCATGATTTGAAACAAAATTTGGACGCAGTACCTGCAGAAAACAGGCATACGTACAACTCTCACGCTTTAATGGGTAGTTTCTACTATGTTCAAGGTTTACGCGAAGGTTGCAAGTGAACTCTTAAACCATTGCAAACATGCATAAACTTGGCAACCAAGAAGTTAACAGCAGGTTACACCGTTTCACGTCTTCCGTTTTTCTTTTTCGTTCGGTCAGAGCAAACTTTACAATCTTCTTTCCTCCTTTTTGCATCACATGTAGCTTACAATTTAATCGGATACTGTTGTCGGCAGTTGGAGATGTAGAACCACGGCCAAGTCTTGTCGATAATCTCCTTTTAGCTGATTAACTAATAATTTCACAAATTTTAAATGACTGATTGATCGTGTGTTTCGATTTTGCTTATCAGTGTTTGCACTTAATAGAGCATCAAAAATTTTGCTACGATTATACCAGAAACGCTATAGTGTTCGGGCTGAATGGTCTAAGTGTCCATCATCTGATTTATACCGGACTAATATCACGCCAGATAAAAAGGTTTACAACGAGTCCACCATTTAACGTACAATATCAAAAATAGCAATGGCGCCTCCCGGGCGCCTTTCGAGTTGCAGTAATGAATATGATGCCGCATCTCGGGCGCCGTTCGGGTGCAAACTGTTAATAACGACAACGATACCAATAAATTTTTGTTTTTTTGCAAATTATTTTTCCCAAATACGACTTGAGCAAAAGTTAACAATTCTCCTTATCAAACTAAAATATAAAGAACTATTTATGCCAAAAGAAGACTGCCCAAAACATTGTCAACAAACTTACATTTTACTAGGCATACCTTTCTGCCCAATAGATTAAATCCTCGTTTTAATCGTGATCATTATTTGATTCAACAATTTCAGTTTGCAAATTTTTAAATGTGCCCTTAGAACATAAATAAATTAAATAAATAAATAATTCGGTATGCGCCCGCAAACGCGCAAAGCCGTGGATTTATTGTTTGAAGAAATTATACAATCGTTAGCTTCGTCAATTTAAAAATGTACAAAAAATTACTTCACTTACACTTTAAAAGTTTAATTCTACAGGAGATGAAAATTTTATCAGAATTCGATTTTTTAGAGATTGTGTTTGGAAAAGTTGATATACAGTGTGATAATTTTTGCTCTGACTATAATTTTGAATTCATTATTCCATTCCTCATAAAGAGAGTTTTTGATTATCCTTAGGGCTTCTTTAGGAGTATAATGATATTGAAAATGCTCTCCGTTAGTGATTGCTTGCTTGGCTAGACCATCAGCTTTTTCGTTGAGTGAACTTACTGGTAGTTATGATACCCTCTTGCGACAACCTGTATGCTAACTGCTATAAGCTCCGAAGAAAAGTCATCGAAAGCTTGCCAAGCAATTTAAATTTTTTCAAAAAGGCAAAATCGTGTTGAACGATAGCCATACCAGAACACATAGATTCTGCAGATGCATCTGTAGCATTTATTTTAAAGGAGTTGTTAACATGTGTATTGATTTTTTCATAGAAGATGGATTGAGTTATTGTTGGGGCTAGATTGTGTTTGCTGTGAGGCTTTTTCTTCTTAATAACATTTCTTAGTTCACTGAACGAAAAATCTGTTAACAGAAGTAACAGTAGAAAGAAGAGGATTGGCAATAAGTGTTTGGCAACTCTGCGCGCGCTTTTACATTGTGCGAAGAAATTTTGCTCATTCGCATTTCATTCACACTTGACACAACACATCATCTCCGCAAACGGCAGGTGGATAATTTTTGTGTTTACCGATGTTAGTGAAAAAGAAAGGAAAAAAAATAAAAAATTTTTTAAATATTTGAAAAAACGAAAAGGGGTTTAATAAAGTAATAAAATAACCAAAGAAAACAATTTTAAGAAGGAAAAGGAGGGAAGGAGGAGGAATCTCTCGTGAGAGAAAAATTAAGAAGCAATACATATATTCAATTATTATTTTTTGTTTTTTCTTTGTAATTTTTTCTTTTTGTGTTCCCTGTGATAACAACTAAAACAACATCAGCCCGTCTCCCTACGGAGACTGGGTCTGATCTTATAATTACTGATAGAGACTGTTTTGAAGATTTTTACATGAACGCCACTGGGCACACCAAGAGATCGAAAATAGGTGAAAATAATATTCTTTTGTCTGCTAGCGGACAAGCTAACGCAAACGTTTTAATTCCGCCTAGTAAACAGGCTACCGACAAGCCCTCTGATTTGGGTGCCACAGCCGCCCCAAATGTCGAGATTAGTTTGTACGATTGCCTTTCCAACTGCAATTTTGTCGTTTTTGTCGAAACTTGCGCAGACGCAGAAGGAAATCGCTTCAATAATAACTTCAATCTCTATTTCTATGTTTACTTGAAGGATTTCGGTATGTACGGCTTAAAAGAATTAAAAGTTGTCAGCAGGGGTAGAGCTAAACTGCTTTTCAGCTCCGCTGCCTATGCCAACAATTTTTTTATGAATAATGAATTTAATAAAAAGAATTTAAAAGCGTACATACCGAGGTCGCTCACTGAGAGATTTGGAGTTATTCGAAACATCCCATGCACATATAGTGTCGATGGTATAATTAAAAACGCCGAATCCGATATCCCGATTAAGTCCGCTGTCCGTTTCCAAAGAAGAAATCCCAACAACAAAGACGAGTGGATTCCCACAACCAGCATCAAAGTTGGCTTCAAAAGGAGAGCCCTCCCTAAGGCAATAAAATTTAATTATTGTAATCTGCCGGTCGAATACTTTGTACCCACTTTAAAGCAGTGCTTTAAGTGTGGCAGATACGGTCACGTATCTAAATTCTGCAAAGCTAAAGAGAGCAGATGCCTTAACTGTGGAAAGTCTCCGAAGTGTGTAAATTGTAAGGCGATGAAGTGCCTGTCCTGTGGCTCAGGTGAGCACAACGCTCTCAATAAGTGTTGCCCTAATAGGGAAATTGAATTAAACATCAACAGGATAATGGCGATTAAGAATCTTTCGTATAAAGAGGTCAAAGAGAATTTTTCCGAAAATTATTTCGAATGTCTCGATGACAACACTTATGACGGCAATTTCCCTCCACTGGGGAACACGTCTGCAATTTTGACCAAGGATGATAATCAATGCTGTCGTCAAAAGGAAATTGGTTCCCTCCAAATCTCTTATCAATTCACCCACCAAGCCTTCTCCCAATACATCCCCCAAGTCGTCTGGAACAAGACTTCTTGGACCGAAAATTTCAAACAACTATTTGCGGTCCTCAGAACTTGAAAGATTAATTCTCGCGATTCAAGAAAGTATCCGTCCGATGATCCCTCATAATCTTATTAAAGAATTTGAAGAAAAAATGTCCGTCTGTGCCATTTCCTGCCCCGTTGAAGCACCCAGTACTACGAGGAAATCCGCTGAGCTTCTTTCCCAAGTTTCAACATGATATCCTTTTTACAATATAATATTCAAAGTGTCCGGCGTAACCTATCTTTTTTGGATTTTTACTTAAACTCAAACGAGGTTGATTTCTGCATCTTAAGTGAACTTTTCTGAAAGATGAAAATTGTTTTGAAGTTAAAGTTTCGAATTATGCCTCAGCCACCAATGCTGAAATGATGGTTATGGCGGTGTTAGTATATTAGTTAAGAAAGGTGTCAATTTCAGACGTATTCCCTAAAACTCTGCCGTTGACATTATCATCATCAAAACCATGAACCTGAAACCGAATCTTTTCATAGCCTCATGCTACTTTCCACCCAGTCGCGATGTGCAAATCTTTCGTGATGGGATTCAGAGATTATGTGACTTTCTTGACGGTGAACAAAATGTGATTCTAGCTGGAGATTTCAATGCAAGACACCGCCTGTATGGCGATCAAGTCTCTACCAACAAAGGCAAAATCCTTGTAAATGCCATCAATTCCAGCAGTTTCAGTGTCTTAAATAACGGCAATACTACCTTTCACTGTAACCGGAGCGGTCGCACGGCGAGCAGTGTCTTGGATCTAACTTTCTCGAACTCAACTATTTTATCTTTCAACTGGAACACATCCAATGTTTCCATTGGCAAAAGTCAGCACTCCCCCATTATATTCCACAGTTGTAACAATTCCGTCAAGAAAATAGAAAATTTCATTTCACGCAACTTCCTTATGGACCGTCTGTCTAAAGTTGATCTTTCTTCTCAACCAAACCGTGGTGGAAACCTTCCTTGTCAACACTTTTCCGCAAATACCAAGCTGCAAGAAAAAAAATGAGTAAATATGCCAATCGAGCCAACTACATTGAATATATGAAAATACTGAAAGAATGGAGGTCTGCAGTTAGAAAGGCGAAAAGGGCACATGGAGCCATCGCTATTAAAGAGTTATGTGGTAACGACAACCCACGAAAATTAAGCGGTTATGCTGTATGGAATGACCGTAATAATAAAAAATACTTAGATATGCTCATTCCAATTGTTAATCCTGTTAAAATGCCTTCAATTCCTT